TTTTTTTTTTTTTTTTTTTATTATAGTCACTTTAACACTCTTGGGTCATTCGTGACTTATAAGGATGACAATTTCCATCACAGCAAAAAAATAATTTTGATATCACGTCAAAGTGGATGCACTACAATCATGTCGAAAATATGGTGTAATATTACTTGCTAAAAAGGACAAAATTATCATTAATACAATGCATGAACTGACATTACGCTGCTTTTACTGCATTTGTTTATTTATGTGGTCATAAAAATTACATGAAATTTTCGACATGATTGTAGTGCATCCACTTTGATGTGATATCAAAATTATTTTTTTGCTGTGATGTTGAGGTGGTCCAAAAATCGTTTTTTTTTTCAAAAATAGCTTTTTTCAAAAATTAATTACTTTGAACCACTGGGCCGATTTCAAAGATAAAAATATCAAATGAAAGGTAATTAAAAATACTTAATATAGAGGAAATGGCTCTAATGTTGGCCTATGGACCTAAGATTGGGCCCATCGCTAAAAATCTGCTATTTATCAATTTTATCTAGATGAACGCGTCATTAGAACGGTACTAATGGATATTTTTGGTCGCTATTGAAAATTGAGTCGATTGCTGAATTTATGTATGGGCCCAAATTAGGGCCATTTGGGCTGACATTACATCCATTTCCACCATTATTGAAAAATAGGGTTACGGGATGTAATGTCAGCCTAGCTCCTCATTTCGGCCTATCAAGCACATAACTCATTAATTCAGCAATAATACACAATAGTAATGAAAAACCAATGCCACCTCTGCTGTGAAATTATAATCCGTATATTATTTGCCTATTTTTGGGATCAATTTATATCAATTATTGCTCTTTTTCAAAGAAAAAGTTTAGTGAAGTTTACATATTTTTCGATTTCTAGGCGCCATGATCTTGCCGTATTACTGCACTAACGAAATCCACACAGCGCGCTGCAGCGGTGGTCATCAAAAAACCTGATAATTTGACTTCCCTTTTTGTAACATGCTAGCCTAATAAATCAATACCACACTTTTAACTCTTACTGCACATTTAGAAGATTGAACGCTATTAGCACTTTATAACTATGGACCGAATTCTAGGGACGTCATTTTGATGCTTGTTCCTAATTATGGCCTACGAATTTATTTGATGACTTTGGTATTGGTGAAACCATTCGCGTTGACGACGACTCTGCAACTGTTCACTCCTATAGGACAACCCCATAGGCAAATGTCCAATTTCGTGATACTTGGCGGATCGATTCTTATCCTTTCACTGGAAAATCCCGTAGGAAAAATGTTAATCTTTGCGTGAAAGGAGAGGTCGACACGGTACACACGATATTTCTAAATAACCCAAAGTTGAGTAGGATCTATTCATATCCGTCAAAAGTAGGGTACCCCAAATTGAGTAAACAAAGTTGGGACTGACAAGATGACGAATGGAAAACATCGACCTGAATCCGAAAGATGTTTTCCATTCGTCATCTTTTCAGTCCCAACTATGTTTACTCAATTTAGAATAGCTCTACTTTTGACGGATATGGGTAGATCCGAGTCAAATTTCAGTTGTATGAAATAGCGTGCAGTTAATCCTGCCGTAAAATGAAACTGACTCATATGTGAGACCGTTTATTCAAATTCGCAAAAGTGTAGGTCTCTTTTATCAAATATGATTAAATTTCACTCATATTTGAGTGACATTTACTCATATATGAGTGAAATTTAATCATATTTGAGTTAACGTTTACTCACTCTATGACTAACGTTTTTTAAGAATTTGAGTGATCGGGATTCAAATATGAGTCATATTCATTTACCGTGCAGGTACTTCGAAAAACTATCAAGCCGAACAATGTCGTCGACTTTCTCTTTCGTTAATAACTTGGCAACAAAACCGTTTCTTGCCATGTTTGCCGTATTAGATGCTAGATAACCATCCATGAAACTGTAAATCTCCACTAACCTCGAAACGACCTCGAGTACTCGGTTCAATTCCTTTAACTTTAGATTTAAGATATTAATAATGTTTAACACAAATGATAATTTGGCTCTGTAAAGTTTATTCGATTGAGCCTGCTCAAATAAAATTAATTTACGAAAAAAAGATGCTAGATAATAACTTCTTTTATCGAACTATGTGTTGAAAATAGCTGGAAATGTCTATACATGGCCGTGTGGATGCAAAGTAAAAATCTACTAAGAGAATCTGTCAATGTTACTTTGGAGCTAATGCATTGTTCGGCTTGTTATTACTTGACTTGACAGTTCGTTATATGTGTGGTCGTGAGATGATCTAAAAAAAAATACGGGTCTAATATTTGGCTATAAGGAACAAAACTGCCAATATTAACGAAATTTTGAGAACCACTATATCGTTTTGATGTCTATCAATCTATCACTTTTTAACATTCGATCCCATCTATTTTTTAGCGACACCTATTGCTGAAATCTGCCATGCCGGTATTTTTTACCATATTTACTGTTTATATGAAACCAGGAAAAACAAATTTGACACCCGGAAAAAAAACTGGGAATTTCATTAAGTGGCCACTAGACTGATGCAAATTTTGACATTTTCGCTCCACAGTGCTCAAACGGTTCCAAATCGGGTCCTGATTAGTCTCCCAAAATTTGAACTCATTTGAAAAGAAACTGACTTCGCACAAACCATTTGAAGTTTATATGGAAATTACTATGGGAAAAACAAATGTTTTGTTCATATCCATCTAACAATTTACCATATGGTTCTGCTTTAAAAAATGATAACTGAGCTCGTAGAAAATTTTCTCAGCTACGACTTTGTTCTGAACCACTTTTCAATATAATGTTAGCATCAAAAGTTATCAATAATTCAAGCCACAAATGTCTTACGATTATACTCAATCAACAGTTCAGCAGGCAACATTGGTGTTTCTGGCGCTTGGAATAGAGCACAAAAATCATGGCTACTATGTCACACTGCAAGATACAGTGTTGCTCACAAAACAGCTGCTTGATCATGCCATAAGATTATCCATATCTTAAACAATTAATAACTATTTTATTTGACGTTAGGCTCAACAACTACATTCTGCTAAGTTGAAGCTGAGAAAATTTTCCATAAGTATTGCTTTTGAATTTTTGAACAGTGCCATATGGAAAAGGTAAGAAGACAATGAACAAAAGTTTGGATTTCCCATAGTAATTTCCATATAAACTTCAAATGGTTTGTGCCAAGTCAGTTTCTTTTCAAATGAGTTCAAATTTTGGGAGACTAATCAGGACCCGATTTGGAACCGTTTGAGCACTGTGGAGCGAAAATGTCAAAATTTGCATCAGTCTAGTGGCCACGCTGGTTTTTCTTAGAAGTCTTTTGATTTGCTTATCAACATTATTTAAGGGCAAGATTGACGAAATCCTTCCACTTCGCACTAATCTTAACATCCAGAGGGGCACTTATCTTAACATCCAGAAGTCGTGCAGATTTAAAGATTAATCCAGGAGCCAGCTGCTCTGCAGCAATCAGTTAGATGCATTTTGGACTTCATACGCTAGTTGTGAGCCCGAGAAAATGCTAAGTGGTGAAACAAGTTGTTTGCAATAGGATTTCATCAATAGTGTCTTTAAACTTGAAATCTCCAATCGGCTCACTTCTTAGGGTGCGGCTGAAGCTCGTTGTAGATTTCCCTATCACAACCTTGGAAGCGAAGCGGCTGGCAGTTCCATAATCCGAGTCTCCAATCGTAGTCATTTTTTACGGTCTTTGCCGATTGTTTCGATACGTAATTCCTTCTGTATCATTTGCAACGATTGGTTTTCAAGGGCAGATCCTCTAGCCAGCTCCAAACCCCTGTCTCATGGGGAATAGACACTTATTTGAGCCGCTTCTAACATGAAGAACACTAACAATAAAAGAAAAAACAGCCATAACTTGACCTAAACTGTTATCAAATATCGCTATGGGCCCTTTTCAAAAAAAAAAAAAATTTATTCATATCGTTTGACATTTCAAGACCTACAATTGAAATAGCCTTAACTCCATTTTGTAAACAAACCTTGCAAGGCCATTTTCTCGTGAACCGAAACCTATATTTGCAAACAATCGGGTAGAAGAGAGTTTCCCCTGCCTGTTCATTATGTTGGTTTGCCTTTGCGGACTTCAGTTCGCGAGAAAATGGCCTTACAAGGTTTGTTTACAAAATGGAGTTGAGGCCTTTTTAATTGTTGGTCTTCATTTGATAGAAAATTTAAATACGCTCCAGAAAGATATCCTTGATTAGACTTCTAAATCCTTTTTCCATCGCTTAAATATACATTGAAAGTTATTCGAATTCCAGGTAAACAATGATTGCTACATTTGCTTGAATTTGAACTATCTTTATAAGCAGAGGCTTAGTATTAGAAACAATGGGTTCGTTCAATGTTCAATTCATACCGAATTATTGAATTAAAATATTCACGATAAGAACCATTGGAAATATCGATTGCTTCGCTTGGAGCGTGCATCGCATCATTCATGCTCCCATTCATGGGAAACGGTTCCACACGTGAATCACTGTTATCTGCGGTGCAACCGTGTGTACATGTACACTGTGCACCATCTCTGCCACGTTTAGTAATTTTTTATCATCTCTCCATTTCCTGCCATTATCAGCAAACACAAGTCTCAAAATGGATCGATATACCCCTTTTACACATATGAGCGTTTCGTACGGCATCTCCACTGTAAGCCCCATTCACATTCATATCTCGTTATCTTTTTCTCTCTGTTTACTCCGCAGATTGCCCGCTCGTTTGGGGTGTTGTTGAACAATCGGATGGCATTCGGCGGTCGCCTTGCTGCTTTCGACTGCTGATTAATTTGGTGAGTGCGATTACACAAATCTGGTTGGATCGTTTTAATCAGCCACACACATCAGAGGGTGATATGATCAGCATCGACAATCACTACAGGCTGAGTGCATTTGCGGAACAATTTCCGGCCTTCTCCTGCTCGACGGGCGGTGGATTCCATTAGGCGTCGTCGGTCGTCGATGGTTGCCGTGCGTGTGTTATTGATGCGAGGATATCAATTACCATAAAAGTTTTGTGTGTATACATATCCGGATAATTGCGGTCCGAATCAATCATCTCTCCGCGTCGATCGATCGATACCGCAGTTTTGGGAGCAGTTCACGCTTAAAAGCATATTCGTGGAGCTTATCGGGGCCAATTTTCCTGCTCTTTTCGGACTGTGGCCCCCTTCGGAATCGCGAGAAAAAGAGGCGTTAGGCCGCCGCGCCAGAGATAGGAGAAAGTGAAAATTCGCGTCCGCTGCCAGTGCTGCAGGGGGAAAAAGTGGCTCGCGTCAGAGTAATTAAACATTATTAACTAATAAAGCGAATAAAATTACAATCATCAAACAAGAGAGTGAAAAACAATTGCAGCAGCAGCAGCAGCAGCATTACGGAAGGAAAAACACATTCGGGAAAAGTGTTGCGCTAAGACAATAACATGGAAATTGATCTGTTATTGTTAACTAATGTCCATATGTGTAAATCCGCTGAAAGCATCTTCATCATCAGCAACAGCAACAGCAGAAACAACAATAGTTACAGCATTCCTAATAAGCACAGCGACGAAGACGACCACATCAACACCTAACCAGGGAGGAGGAGAAATTACACAACCTCCCCATCATCGCCAACAATCGACAGCAGGCCGGGGGCAAACAAGATCACCCCCTTTCACCCTAATGCATAATCACACAGCCTTTGTCGTCGTCGTCGTCGTCAGTCGCGGTGGCGGCAAGATTTGATTTAATTAAGCGCCGCCCGAGTGTCGTCGCCCGCTGCTCGTGGAAAACAATAGGCCCCCGCGAACAATTATCGCCACCAAGAGTCGCGTGTGCCCAGCTCTCACCCGAGCGCGCGAGTGAGCTTTTCTTGTAAATGCGCGGAAAAAAGGTCAAACCCTAGATGTGAGAAGAAAGCAGAAAACCTCGACCACCGCCTCGTGTGAGTGTATGTGTGGGGGGGAAAAATGCTCCCCTTTGTGCAATCAACTCGAGAGTTTGCAAGTGAATAGCGTGAAGCTCAAGTTTTTAAGCTTTTCTGAAAATCTTTGCACAGAGCTAGCAGGGCGAGAAGAAAGAAGAAAAGTTTGCGAATGTGTTGTAGTGCTCGTGTGGAGTGTAGTGTTTAGGCTCTTTTTCTGCTTCGTTACGGGGGAAGATATCTACTAAACAATGGATCGGTTTAGTGTGAACAACGGATCGGCTAATGCCGGTGGTGGGACTTCCACTTCTGGCGCGGTCGTCAACAGCACTGGTAACAATGCTGCAAGTGGAGGAGCTAGCAGTATCGTCACTGCCACCAGTAATAGCAACATCAATAATACCGGCAGCAACAACAACAATAGCAATAACAACAATGGTGTGAAGTTGCGCCCTGATCGCGGTAATGCGTCCATTGACTCGACGCTTTCATCGGCGTCTTCGTCGTCATCGACGGTCGCCTCCGTTGCATCCAGCTATCGGAGATCGTTTCACCGGTTGGGACCGGGCAGTGCCAGTGCCACGTCCGATTACAGCATGTCAACGTTGCCGGAATCGATTCAGGTAGGATTACTTCTTGCATTATTTGTTGTCCGTAGGTTGCTGCTTATGTCCACATTTTTCATAAAATTTATTTTTCACGAATAATAGTCCATTTCCTTCCTGGAAAATATGTTGCTCTGTTTAGCCCAAATTTACCCAGTTCGTTGAATAAAGTATTGGTTGAAAATCAATACTATTTTGATTGTATTTCAACAGTAACACTTTAATATGTAATATGTTTTCAATAGATGTCTTACAAGATAGAGTAGAACATGAATTGAGCTTTACAGAAAAATGCGTGTTGTTGTTCATTTTCTCAAATCTTCAAAACGAAAATTTAAGATTCATATTCCCAATGCTCAACTCGAACGTCACGAATTGATAGTTTTTTTTTCCAAAATTCAAATCAATCTTTACGATATCAATTTGTAGTTAATGTAATATAAGGGATTTTAAGACAAATATTTTCTAAGCACCCGAAATGCGCTAGTCGGTACGAGATAAAACAGATGGTGTGAGAACTTTTCCTGTAGAAATTGCTATTCACGGTATACTTTATTAATCGCTGCCTTAGTTGTTTGATATATTTGACTGGGATCTATCCCAAGTAAAGTTCTGATAAAAGGCTATTTGTGGCTTAAGCAGCTTGGTTGAAGGTGGTCTATAGAATTCTAAGCAGTCTCATTTTTAAAACGTTATAAGCAGGGCCCCACAAAGTCACTTTCAATCGAAAATCTTCAAGTGACGATGAAGCTCTCAACCATCACTTTCAATTGAAAGTCATTCCGTCTTCTCTTCGAGCAGATCCCCGTCAACATCAACAGAACCAGAACTTTCGATCGGTTTTCATGCTGTTTGTTTTGGCTTGACTCGTGTTCATTTCTTCTTTCATTGTCAAAAGAACTTCCTTTTGCATTGAAGCGAAGCTGTTTGATCCAAATTCGCGCAGTTTTTATGACTTTTGTTGATTGTTCACTCGGTTCATTTAAGCGTGTGCGCATAGATCTGTGCACGTGGTTGTAAAATTTATCATTGTTGGGTGGTTTGTTTACCCATCAATATGGGTAATTTTTGAATCAGGGTGACGTATAGAGATCGAAAATTGATATGCGACGCCATTTTTAAATCCAGTTTACGAAAAAGTGGGAAATGCTGTCAAATACTTATCAATCAAGGTATTTTTGGAATCGGGATAGTGTCTAGAGGATGAAAATCGATATCCGACGCCATTTTGAAATCGAAGATGGTGGCTTCCGATTTACGAAAAAGTGGAAATACAGTCAAATACTCATCAATATTGGTATTTTTGTAATCGGTATGAAGTCTACAGATCGAAAATTAATATGCGACGCCAATTCGAAATCCAAGATGGCGGCTTCCGATTTCAGCACAAGTGGGAAATATTGTCAAATACCCATCAATATAAGTATTTTTGGAATCGCGATGACGTCTAGAGGCCGGAAATCGATATCCGACGCCATTTTGAAATCCAATATGACGGCTTCCTATTTCAGACAAAAAATGGGAAATGCTGATGCCATCCCATCAATATGGGTATTTTTGGAATCGGGGTGACGTCTGGAGATTGGAAATCAGTATCCAACGCCATTTTGTAATCCATCAAATACCCATACAAACGTTTTTTTTTTAAGAATCCGGGTAACGTCTAGAAGTCGGGAATCGATATCCGACGCCAAACGACGGCTTCCGATTTGCGGAAAGTGTCAAATATCCTAAAATATAGGTATTTTCAGGATGGGGATGAGATAGATGTCGAAAATTGATGTCACGCCGTTTTTTTTTAAATCGGGCTAACATCTAGAAGCCAGAAATCGATGTGCGATGCCATCTTTAAATTCAATTTAAGAAGAAGCATCAAATAGCCTACAAATGGCATCGAATATCGATTTTCAGTATCTACGCGTGGTCTCCGTTCCGAAAATACCCAGATCTTAGGGTATTTGACACTTTTGTGAAACCCGATGGCCGCCATATTGGATTCCAAAATGGCATCGAATATCGATTTTTGATATGTACACGTTGTCCTCATCCCGAAAATACTCATATTGTAGGGTATTTGACACCTTTTCTGAAACCCTATTGTAGTTCAACATAGCATCGGATATCGATTTTCGGCAGCCACGCGTTGTCTCCGTTCCGAAAATACCCATATCTTAGGGTATTTGACACGTTTTAGGAAACTTGATGGCCGCCATTTTGGATTCCAACATAACGTCGAATATCGATTTTCCGCACCTTCATGTCGTCCTCGTTCCGAAAATACCCATATTGTGGGGTAATTGAGACTTTCCCTGACCCCGATGGTCGCCATCTTGGAGTCCAGAATGGCCTCATTAATTAAATTTTGGTTCAATATAAAATAATATATTATTACTACACCTAATCTGGATGCCTTTCAGGTCGTGACAAGTCCAATGAGTCCAATGAAAATGCAGAACCCTGGTTATAAGAACTTGAAAGTTTCGGTACCATAATTGAAAAGCATTCTAAGCAGCCTCTGGACGAAAATGAACAGAACTTTTAGAAAATAAATTAAAAAAGGTTTTTGTCCTCTACACCAATTATATATTTAGTTCGCACTTTTATGAAAGTTATTTCTAAAGGCAGGTTTTAATGTGTATTGATTTATCAGCATTAATAGTAGTAATGGAGCTGTTGGTAGAATTAAACCCAGTCCTTCTGCGTGAGAGCCCCAGCACGAACCGCTACGTCATCTGAGATATATTAAAATGAACTGTTGTCCCGCCTACTGTTGGACTTTTCAGTGCCAGCTGACTGACTTGAATACGAAATACAACACCTTGATGAATTTTGAATTGGTGTTTGCCCGCATGGTATTCCATCACACTTGTGGCGCAGTGGTTAGCAATCGTAGATCACATGCCGAATACACGGATTCGAATCCAGGAAATTACTTTTTATTTATTTTTTGATAGAATGTTGCATAAATATAAGAATTATGATTTATTCGGGCCACTGATTATTTCATATTTACGTACATTAAATTTTGTAACTCATAAAAACTTGTGCGGATTGCTTCATGTGGCTTGAAAGTCCTGTCGGAACTTTATTTGAACTTTATGGAACTTGAAAGTTCTGCCAGAACTTTATTCGAACTTGATGGAAATTGAAAGTTCTGTTGGAACTTTATTTGAACTTTATGGAACCTGAAAGTTCTGTCAGAACTTTATTCGAACTAAATGGAATTTGAAAGTTCTGTCGGAACTTTATTTGAATTTTAAGGAACTAAAAGGTTGAACTTTTTGGAACTTGGAAGTGATTCGTTACTTGGGTTTCCATCGAGTTTCAACTGCAAAATACACAATAATCAGGGTTGATAATGATAGTTCTGAGGAGAACTCCCAAAAGAGAAATCTAAGGACATTCTGAGAATAATTTCAAGAAGATTATGTTAGAAAAGGAATCCGGAGCATATGTCTATGAAAGTTTTCGAAGAATTCATAGAGGGTACGTTGCAGAAGATTACAATTACATCTAAGGATAACTCAGATATAACCTCAAATGAATTTGGTCAAAAATGCCAATAGGGTTTTGACCTTTTTTTGAGGAGAAATATAAGGAACTTGTAAGGAGAACTGAAAGTAATTTCTTAGCTGAGAATCGTTGTGAATTAAATTCCAAGGGAAGGAGAAAAATTCAAAGGTTATTTAGGAATACATTCTATTAACATTTTGAGAATAATGCAAAAGGATTTCTTAGGAGGAAAACATCAAGAACGTTTCGAAGAGTATCCGTAGGATATTTCGGTTATAATTTTTTAGATAATTCAAAGCAGAGTCCCATAGGAGTAGCATTCCAAAGATTTTTCGGGATTTCCTAGCAGAACTAAACAAATATTCCTAAGACAATTCAATTGGAATTACAAGGTAATATTAAGTGCATGCTTTTTCAGAATATGCTACAGAAGTTCTGCAGAGTTCAAAGGGTATCAAGATTATTCGAACATTGATATGTTTTCGAGATCCTGGACACAGACAAATACATTAAGATTTGGGATTAATAAATAAATTGAAATTCTGAGCCTTTGAGTTTTTAAAAAAATTTAATTCTATATTTAAGAAAACTTATTTTAAATTCAATATTCAGGACCAAGATTCTGGAACATGAGAGGTTTTGTATGTATGTAAAATATGCCACTCATTGTTGCAGGGCACAGCCATTAGACAGTGGATTGTCTATCACTTGATCAAGTACCCTACCTGGTTGTATTCAATTTACCATTGTATGAAGGGTTAACCCAATACAAAACAAGCCATCATACGAGGGGATGTCAAAATGAGTGGGGGAAAAGAGCCCACCTTCAATTCACGAAATGTTAACAACGGGGAGTTCGCAATTCCACTCTCCCCATCCAAATCGCTTCAATAAGGCGCCCCTGATGATTCCATCCCTACCCAATGAATTTCTATGTTTAAATGAAAATATGTAGAATATAAAAATGTAATACTACCCATTATTTTCAGCTCAGTAAGCAAAAACGATCCCTTCAGGGTAATTGAGCATCTCAAAACCACAACACTCCACGACAAAATATGATTAAGTTTTCACTTGGTATGTAATGAACAACAGAGATACGCGATAATTCATATAGTTTCTGTGGTTGATGATTAGTTTTAAATATACGAATGGAACTGCCAACGGCGACTACGATGACGACAACAGCGAACGTGGCACCTCCGCTGGATCTTCATGTCTGCAAAAATAGCTAAGAGCAATTATCTATGTTGTGATACTTCCTTCAACGAAGACAAATTTTCTTGCATTGCCATGGTCATTAGACTGATGCAAAATTAGAAATTTTTGCTCCACAGTGTTCAAACGGTTTAAAATCGGGTCCTGATTAGCCTCCGAAAGTTTAAACTCATTTGATAAGAAACTGACTTGGCACAAACCATTTGAAGTTTATATGCGAATTACTATGGGAAAAAAAAACTTTTTGTTCATTGTCTTCTAGCCTTTTTACATATTGTACTGTTAAC